ACTATCACCCTTCGGATCATTGACAGTAAGTAAAAGTTTACATGAAAATAAAAATATAAATGGAAGTCTGAAAACAGAGAAGAGGCCTAACCCTTGCCTTCGTATTATTCTGCATGAAAATTGCAGTTGACTTTTGTATACAAATTACAAAGACGTATCTAAATGAAAAATATATAAAAAAAGTTTATTTAAGGGGTCAGAATTATATATGTATTTTATTGTTCTGCAGATTGGCTTTTCGAAGGACGAATCGATAGGGGAATCTGGGAAAGTAGTGATAGATAATAAACTACTTGCAGAGTCAGTTTTGGAGTCAATTATTGGGAAGAATGGAGTTTCTCCTGCGGCAAGGAAGAACTTGGCTGAAAGATTTTCAAAATTGTTGAATGGAAAAGAGAAATCAGAAGCCGATAATTGTGCTAAAGAATTCAAAGGAGTGGACACGAATATCATCCAAATTGAAACCGGAAAAGTGTGAAGAGACCGGCGTAGATGTCTGGTTCATAATAATGTTAATGTATGGTTTTCAACTCTTGTGATGGCTTTACCTGAGAATGAATTTTTATGTTTAGAGATTTGAGATCCCTTAACTTGAATTTTGATTACGTATACAAATTGTTCTCGTGATATGATAAAAAAACAAAAAGGTTAGGCCTTGTTTGTATTTCCAATCGAATCAATAATTAAAATAAAATACACGTGGAGATAGGCCATTACCTGATTAATGGGGTAAAGAAATACCTTCTTAAAAGTTACAATACATCCAGGGCAGTGTCAATGTAAAGGACTACTTATTCAACTTAAAAAATAATTGTACCGACCCAGACGACCTGCCTACATCAATTAAAATTGACCCAACACTATTATATATACAAATTATTTAATATAAATAGTAAATGACATGTTATAACCTAAGCTTTAGCGAAATAACAAGTTGATACCCATGGGTTTATTTATTCTAGATTTCTACACTTAAAGTCCTCACACAGTTACTACCAGAAGCTAATCACCACCAAATTAACAGTGTCATTTTAAGGATAGGAATCTAGACTAAATGAAACCAGGGATATCAACTTGCCATTTTGCTAAACCTCGAGTAAAAACATGTCATTTACTCTAATATAAATGATTTACCTATTAACTACAACCAAATTCAATTGTTTAATTTATCTTTTAAGTTTTAAATTATCTAAATGTATAATTAATGACATCATAATTTGTATGAATTATTTGTATAAATTATTTTTAAAACAACCTGTCGTGATGGTAGTGATTGATAATTTGAATGATAAAAAATGTTTATTAATAAATCATAAAGAAACAATATAACATGTGTCCAACTAATAATTCTAGAAGGTATAGTAATGCATTGGATGATTTAAAAACGAAAACAAATAATAATAAAAAATTAATACAACCAGTGGATGAACGACCTAAAATTGAATATTTCTTCTTCTTTTGACTTATATACATACGATTTATTATAAAATAAAGAATTATAGTCATTTTTTTAAAATAAGTAATCTGCCACCTAAACCAAAAACCTGAAGGCAAGTCACCCACCTCCACCCAAATAAATACTTATTCGCCGAATATTAAATAATATTTCTTTAAATAAATTTTATCACAAATCATATCATTGCCCATAGAATATCGTTTTCATCTACGTGCTATTAATTCATTAGTTTTTAGAGTTTGAAATTCATGGAAACTTGTTTGGATGGAAGGAAAATAGAGAAACAAGAAAGAGAATTTAAGATATTTGCAAAAGAAGAAAATTAGATATCGAGAAAAATGAGTTACCTGCATTCTAATTAAATAGGTTTTAAAACTATTTTCCCCAATTTTTTAAGGGTATATTTGGTTGGGAATAATCTCCTCATTGAGATAATATCATTTTGTATTATTTGATTACCATGTTTAGTTGTTAAGTAATATAAGATTTCGGTGATTTTCTAAAACCAATAGTAATTACTCTTTGTAATATAAAAGGTAATCTGATTACCTCCATTTTCTTAGGTATTTTAAGATTACTTGGTAATTTTATTTTGTTACAATTTTACCCTTGACTATTAAATTTTTTGGACAATAATGCCCTCAATTTGAAAACAATTTACAAATATATTCATGGACTATTTTATCCTCATACACAAAAATTTTAGGGCATAAATACCCCTGGACTTTAAAAAAATTACTCAAGGGTCGTGGCCAGATTTGGCCACCACCGACCGGGGCAAAAAATGGTTGGTCATGCACCGATATGGCCATTTTCGGCTAAATATCTTATCGGAAACGGCCATATCATCGTAGATCTGACTGGAAATGGCTAGATCTATTATGACTTTTTAGGCCAGATCTATGCTTCTAGCTGTTAACCACGACAAGATCTCTAGCCGTCTTTAAAGTCTAGACAGCCAGATAGATCTGGCCGTCGTTGATAGCAAAAAACGGCCAGAACTAACAGCCAAGGTTCTGGACTTAACTACGACCAGAACTTTGGCTGTAGATCTAGCCAGAAATGGCCAAATCGGAGCACGACTAGCCAAATATGGTCAATCGTGTGCCGTTACGGCCACTGCTGGTGGTCGCCAGTAGAGGTGGTTGGCTTCCAGTAGTGGCTTGGTGTGGGGGAGGGTGTTTTTGCTAAGTTTCAAACTTTTTTGGTTGATGTGTTGTTTTAGCTAAATCTGAAATGTAGCGGGTTAAAAAGAATGATTAAAAAAAAAATAAAAAAAATATTATATTAATATTTAAAAAGAAGGGCAATTTAGTAAATTAGATAACATAGTTACCAATTTATTCCTCCCAACCAAATATATTAATATAACATACCTATCGATTTATTCTAACCAACTGTTAGGGCCAAAAATCGTCCTTGACCCAAATAGGAAAACAGAACCACTAGTAAAGAAAAGACCAAGCCTAGTCCTAAAGAGGCCCAAACCAGATCAGTCCCATTTGATACGAGACACGGCCGACCCAAGCCCTCTGGGCACGAGCCTGCCAGTTCCAGTTCACTTCATGGGCCTATGAGCAAGTTCCGAGCCCACAGCCCACTGGTCACATTCCAGTTCCTGATCAGTTTCCTACTCGAAGTCATTTTCCTGTTCAGAACACTTCCCTATTCGAAGTTACTTTCCTGATCAGAATCATCTTCCTATCTGGACACTGATAAGACAACATACCACGACCCTAATTCTTCTAGGGTTTGCATCAGAGTCACATTAGGACTCATACTCCCACCAGGATTGGGAGACCAGACAATCACTATATAAACAGAGACCAGCCCTCTCACAAAGAACACTACATTACACCTTTACATCCAAAGCTCCTACTTGAGAGCTTTACATCACTGCCATAGTCACAGTCTCTGACTAGACTTCCGGTAACCTCTTTACTCCCTAACTCTCACTATACTAGCCTCTTTCAGCCTTGCTGACTTGAGAGTCAGAGTGCCTATGGCAAACACCACCCCGATGTTTCTTGTTTGCTTCACGCGTTTGTTTTTCTATGTGTGCAGGTACAGCGGATCGCTAGTAGCCTCAACCTCACGGGATCAGACCCCCTTTCCTTACAGGTAGATTTTTACGTCTACAGTTTGGCGCCCACCGTGGGGCCTCTAACAATCATTCGGCTCGACGAACCCTACTGCGTAGAGAAACTTTCCATGGCTGACAACTCCGATAACCCTAATCCCGGCCTCGAGGCTCTAACCGCTCTCATGCAACAGAACTTGGACAAGGTGGCTGCATTGGAAGCTGAGAACAATGCGATCCGGACGGAAAACGCATCCATCAAGTCAGAAAACCTATCCCTCAAGGAGAAGGTGAGTCAATTCTATGACCTAGAGTTTCTGCCCGGCCAAGCACCCCCCAATTGGTTCCATACCCCTGTTCTATTCATGTAACCTCTCCTTATGTCGAAGCCCCGACCCTCGGCCTCTGGCAAAAGGTCGCGTCCCTTAAACCCGTCTGTGGTCGACGATTCTATCCTAATTCATGGAGATAAAGATATGCATGTAGAACATCATTCAACCGATTCATCCCAGCATCAAGACCAAGACGATCCAGTGGCAGAAAGCCCTCATCCACAAGACTAGCTCAATCTAGCCATCCCAACACATACTCCATTCGGCTCCGCTCATCCTCGCGGGATGAACGGCCAAACTAAACCAGCAGCACCCGAGCCCATCCATCCTGACCAACCGAATGACTATCAGAGGACTCCCCTAACCATCCATGTAGAGCGAAACACCAGAACAGTTACCATTGGAGTCATCCAACCGGAAGGAATGACCGAAGATCTATGCTATCAGGGAACGCACGAAGGGACTCGTCAGACTACCCTAAGAGGGGTGACCCAACGGAATGTACCAAAGTTAAATGCAAAGGCCGACCCGGTCATGCGGGATGACCTAGTGGAACAGGTACTAGCCAAGAGATTGGCCGATGGGGAAGCAGTGATGTGACGCATTCCAGGAATGCCGGTCCTAACCAAGAAGAGTAGGCCCCATTATTACGCGGATTCACCCTTCGTGATCGAGATCGCCCTAACCGACATGCCTCAGAAGTTCACTATTCCCAAACATGAAAATGTACGACGGCACAACGGATCTGGACGATCACATAGCCTCGTACAAGCAGCGGATGTTCACCGTCTCAATATCCCGACCGCTGCAAAAGTTTTGGTTCGAGCTTATCCAGCCTAGCATTACAATGGTACATGAACCTTCCAAACGGATCAATCGATTCGTTCGCTCAACTCACCGACACGTTTATGGAATAGTTCGTCAGCAGCAAAAAACTCGAGAAGCTGTCAGCCGACTTGTACAGAGTATACCAGAGAAGGGGCGAGCCATTGAGAGAGTATGTCAGCAGGTTTAACAAAGAAAAGATTTCCATCCCAGCATGCAACCCTGAGATAGCCGTAGATGCCTTCAGGAAGGTCTCCTCCCGAACGGAGAGCTATACAAAAAACTTATAAAGCTGGGATGCACAACAATGGAAAACGCCCTAGCCCGAGCAGTGATGCAAATAAGATGGGAGGAGGATGAGATAAACCGAACGATTCACTCCAGATATGATTCAAGGCGAGATGACAGGAAACCAGAGCACAGGCCAGCGGAGCACCGCTACCAACCCCCAACACGCAATTCGAGTAGAGTCAGAAAACTGTATGATCGTCAACCAACAAGAATCGAGAGCAGACAGTTCGGATCGAACTGGTACAAAATACCAGAGTACAGCCTCAATATCGAGCCAACCCAGGTGGTCGCGATTATGAAAGGAATGGGATCCACCGTTAAGTGGCCAGGCAAGCTCAATCCCAAGGCAAGGAGAGACAAGACCAAATGGTGTGAGTTCCACGGCGATCATGGGCACAACACCGCAGACTGCATCGCTTTACGACTAGAGGTTGCTGCACTTCTAAAGAGGGGACACCTCCGGGATCTGCTAATTGATCAGGGGAAGAACACCATTAGCCATAAGAGTTCAAAAGAACCATCACCACCTCCGCGAGAACCTAAACCGAAAGGTTTCTGGTCGCTCATCTCCGGAGGATCAGAGATCAGTGGGGTAAGTTACTCATCAGCCAAGCGATATGCCAGAGCCAATCGCCACCATGAAGTCCAGTCCATCCATCCGGCCTCACGGTCACACACTCATCAGGTAATTCAATTCGAAGATGATAAGCCAGTTACCCTGGTCGCTCCTCATCATGATGCCCTAGTCTTCTCCCTACAGGTCGCCAACATCGTAGTGAAAAGAGTATTTGTAGATGGAGGCTCTATGGCAAACATCTTATTCCTTGAAACAGTGAAGGCTATGGGACTGGAAAAGGCAAACATCAATAGGCGGCCGACGCTGCTAGTTGGCTTCAGCTCTAAGTAGAAGTACACTATCGAGGAGATCATCCTCCCTATCTACGCTGGAGGAGTGAACAAATAGACCATTTTTCTGGTAATCTACTGCCCCTCGCCATACAACATCATCTTAGGCCGACCTTAGATCCACAACATGCAGGCCGTCCCATCTACCTTCCACTAGACGATCAGATTTCCAACCAAATGGGGGGTACGAGAGATCAAGGGTGACCCCAAAACTTCCAGGGATTGCTATAAGAATGCCTTCAAAGGCAAGGATAATTCTTCGTAGTAATTACAGATTCATCCAACCCTACCGACCGAGCCGGACCAACCATGTATGGAAGAGTTGGATGAAGTATAGAAACATCTGGATGATCCCGACAGAAAGACACATATAGGATCCCGATAGAAAGACACATATAGGGTCCCGTCTCAAGCCCGAGACCAGAGAAAAGCTGATAGAATTCCTCAAACAGAACCAATATTGTTTCGCCTGGTCGCACGCTGACATGACCAGAATCAGTCTGGAAGCAATGGTCCACCAGCTCAAGGTAGACCCAGATCACCCACCAGTGAAACAGAAGAGAAGGAAATTTGCACCAGAGCATAACCAAATTATCAACGAAGAGGTCAAAAAGCTCTTGAGCAATGGTATGACCAAAGAAGTATACTACCCTGAATAGCTAGCGAATGTCGTGGTTGTAAAGAAAAAGAACGGGAAATTGAGAGTGTATATCGACTTTACGAACTTGAACAAAGCCTGTCCCAAAGATTCCTTCCCGCTCCCGCAGGTCATGAGCTCCTTAGTTTCATGGACGCTTTCTCAGGGTACAACCAGATCTTGATGCACCTGGACGACCAAGAGAAGACAGCCTTCATCACGGAAAAGGGAACCTATTGCTATAAGGAACGCCGGAGCCACCTACCAGCGGCTAGTCAACAAAATGTTTGCCGAATACCTAAGAGACACCATTGAGGTATACATCGACAACATGCTCATCAAGTCACTGATGGCCGAACAGTACCTCGACCACCTCAACCAGGCATTTGCCGTCCTCAGGAAGTACAACATGAAGCTAAATCCAGCCAAGTGCTCATTCAAGGTCTCGTCAGGAAAGTTCTTGGGCTACATGGTGACTCAGAGAGGGATAAAAGCCAACCCCGACCAAATCAGAGCAATCCTTGATATACCGTCTCCAACTTGCGTGAAATACGTCCAGTGCCTCGTAGGACGCATGGCCGCCTTAAGCCGCTTCATCTCTAGGTCGCCAGACAAGTGCCATCTCTTATTCCATGCCCTCAAGAAGTCCAAGAAGTTCGAGTGGACCGCCCCCTGCGAAGAATCCTTGTAACAGCTGAAAAGATACCTTACCTCCCCTCCGCTCCTATCCAAACCTGTGGACGGGGAGAAGCTCTACTCTTACCTAGCGGTCTCAGAGACAGCTATCTCAGCAATACTAGTTCGAGAAGAAGAAATGAAGCAGTTGCCGATCTACTATATGAGTAAGTCGCTCCTTGACGTAGAAACGCGATACAGTCAGCTGGAAAAATTAGCCCTCACCCTCGTCCATGCATTTAGGAAGCTCAAGCCATACTTTCAGTGCCACTCAATAGTTGTACTTACCTCCTTCCCACTCAAAATGATACTGCACAAATCAAACCTATCAAGCCGACTCTTGCAGTGGACAGTAGAGCTCAGTGCCAGCTTCGCACCGTCGTCAAATCCGAGGCCTTGGTCGACTTCATTGCTGACTTCACCCCGAATACCACCACCCAAGCAGAAAGTGAGTTATTATGCATGAACGGCGGATCACCATCCAAGTGGACCCTCTTAGTGGATGACTCGAGTAACGTGAATGGAAGCGGACTGGGAGTGGTACTGGTCGCTCTAGAAGAAGACATCATTCAACGGGCAATACGGTGTGGGTTCAAGTGCATGAACAACGAAGCCGAATATGAGGCTCTTATAGCTGGACTTTCCTTAGCCAAAGAAGTTGAAGCAAAAAGACTAGAAGTGAAGTCTGACTCCTAGCTCGTGGTCAATCAACTACAAGGCACATATCAAGTACGCGACTCGAAGATGACATCCTACTTGAGCATGGTCAAGGAGCTGCAGGCACAATTCGATGAGTTTTCCATTGTCCAAGTCCCTAGAGCGGAGAACTCCCACGCTGATGCTCTTGCCAATCTTGGCTCAGCCCTCAAATGCTCTCCCTCCTCGTCCATCTCTCTACTATTCATGTAGTGGCCAACCAACTGGGACGGACAACCAAACAAGCCGCTTGAGGAAGCCATGGGAGTTGAACTAGCCGAATGCTGGATGACTCCGATAGTGAAATACTTGGAGCGTGATGAACTCCCCACTGACAAGAACGAGGCACGACGGCTAAAAGTAAGAGCAGTCAGATTCACCATACATGAGGGCCAACTCCTTAGAAAATTGTTCTCGGGCCCCTACCTTAAGTGCACAAGCCTAGGAGAGGCCCAACGTGTCCTTGTTGAGTTGCATGAAGGCGAATGTGGAAACCATGCTGGGGGACGCAGCCTTGCACACCGAGTGATCACTGCTGGATATTACTGGCCAACTATGCGCGCTGATTCAGCTGCTTATGTGAAGAAGTGCGACAGTTGTCAGAGGTTCGGTCATGTCTCACACCTCCCACCAGAGTGACTACATTCCATCCTCACACCCTGGCCCTTTATGAAGTGGAGAATGGACATCGTGGGAAAACTACCTATTGCACTTGGACAGCGAGTCTTCATGTTAGCTATGACAGACTACTTTACGAAGTGGATCGAAGCCGAAGCCTTCGCACAAGTCAGAGACCGAGAGGTAAAAGCCTTCATCTGGAAGAATGTCATCTGTAGGTTCAGGATACCAAAGGAGATCGTCACCGATAATGGATCTGAGTTCATCAGCTCAGGCTTCAGGGATTTCTATGATATGTGGAAGATAAAGTTGAGCTTCTCAACCCCCCGCAACCCCCGCAAACCCCAGTCTAACGGCCAGGCCGAGTCGTCAAACAAGACCATCATTCAAACACTAAAGAAGCGGTTATAGAAAGCCAAGGGTGCATAGGCAGATGAGCTACCCTGAGTCCTCTGGTCATATCGAACCACGACTTGCTCGTCAACGAGCGAGACCCCATTCTCTCTCGCTTACGGTTCTGAAGCAGTCATCCTAGCCGAAGTATTAGTCCAGTCCACCAGGCTCCAATGGGCGAACGAGGAGTTAAACGAGCAGAACCTTTGCAGAATCTGGACACCATCGACAAGCTGCGCGAATGAGCGAGCATCCGTAATGCAATCTATCAGCAAAAGGCCGCCCGATATTACAACCGCAACGTAAGTATTCGAACTTTCAAGATAGGTGACTGGGTCCTCCGCAAAGTCTTTCAAAACACCAAGGAGATCAACTCGGGCAAACTCGGCCCCACCTAGGAAGGCCCCTACAAGATAACCAAAGAAGCATGGAAGGGTGCTTACAAACTCCAGACCCCCGAGGGTAAAGACATCAGTAACAGTTGGAATGCCGTTCACCTCAAACGCTACTACTTCTAGGTGAACTTTATCTTTTTTTTGTTTATCTTTTTTTTTATTTTAAAAGGGATGAGTGGGCCTATCCACCTCCTCTTAGACAGTCGGCCTCATGGGCAAATATTAATGAAGTATTATTTATAAATCTTTCATCTCCAAATCGACTATGGTCGATCATTTATTGTTAAACACCTTCAGATTGACCATGCCTGATCCACGAAATTGCACCTCTGAATCGACCCCGATCAATCGATTGTTTACACCTTCAAATCGGCCCTGTCCGATCCACGATTTCGCACCTTTGAATTGACCAAGCTTGGGTCACGAAAACACTTTTGAATCGACCCCGTTCGGTTCACGAATACACCTTCGAATCGATCCAACTCGGTTCAACACCTTTGAATTGACCCCGTTCGGTTCACGAATACACCTTCGAATCGACCCAGCTCGGCTCAACACCTTCGAATTGACCCAGCTCGGCTCAACACCTTCGAATTTGACCTATTCGATTCACGAGAACACCTTCAGATTGACCCTGCTCAATCCACGGAATCACCCCCTCGGATCGACCCTGCTTGATCCACGTTATCACACCTTCGGATCGGCCCTGCCCGATCCACAAAGAGACCATCAAATCGGCTCAGCCCGACCTACAACTCGTACCTTCTAGTCGGACTTGACCGACCCAGGAACTCGCACCTCCGGGTTGACTTCACCCAACCCAAGACACTTTATACTCGGTCGGCCAGACCGAATGAATGGTTCTTACACCAGTAATACGCAAAGCACCAAACTAGCCCAACACAAGGCTTACATGCCTTAGCCGCTGGGCCGCACTAAAAACAACAAACACAACTTGGTGCATCTACAAATAAAGAAACAATGAACAACTCATTCATCCATGAAGAAAGCATCAAAAGCTAGAACAACTGAATACAATATAGATAGCCCCAAAAGGCTCAGTTCAAAATACAAAAGAACGGCACACGCCAATAAAAAAGGGCATCGCAGGCCCCAAAATACAAGGAAAAAACTAGACTAATTGTCTTCAGTACAAGTCACCTCCTCCATCTCTTACTCAGTTATAATGTCTGCACCGCCAGCACCAATCCAAGCGGCCTGGTCGCTCGCATCCCCAACATCTGACGGCCCCGGCTGACTAGCAAGGTCAGGCATCTATCCCTTATCTTGTAAACCCGGATGACCGGCTCCCTCTTCCAACAACTCCCGCATGAGTTGGATGTCTTCGTCCGGATCCCAGTGAGAAGTCTTCCCTTCCTTGAACTCAAGCATGAGTTCACCGCGGGCCTTGATAATAGCGTCATCGGCAATGGAAATACACTGCTCCCTCAGAGACTCAATCTCTGTGGTCTTCTCGGCCAATTCATGCCTCAGCCGCTCCAACTCCCGCTCGCTATCCCTCAGACGCTGCTAAAACTCCTGTTCTACCTTCCGGGCTGCCGCCTCCTTTTGGCATAAGCTGGTGTT